TATTTCAATAATAATTCGGACACACACACGCATACAAACAAACACACGCACACACGCATATACATGCGCTGCCAGTGTTGGCGATATTATGAGAACTTATTTGTTGAATAATTTAATTTCTGGATGTACGGTCGTAATCATAATGTTTAAATGTATGTGTATACCGAAGCACAAGTCTGTAGTATTTGATATACGACTTTTACAAAGATGATGGTGAGGGGTTAGATATAGGATATGCAGAGCACTATTTCGTTGTATTTTAACTTCGTTTAATTTTTAAAATGACAACTCGAATAAAAGTGCTGATGACGCGCCCGTATTAACATTCTACATAACCTTTCTCCTTTCATTCCTTCAAGGAGAGTATTAAGAACTGTCATCAAACATTTTTGGACTGTATATGTATATAATGATTAATATGCAGAAGTTAGCCAACAGCCTGGGCACAAATTGAAATACAATTGATATTCATTATAACGGTGATTTCCACTCTATACCAAGAGTAAGTTATGTAACAAAACTTGTCTTTGCAACCACCAGAGTTACGAAGAGAAAGATATGGGGTGTTAAGTGGTTTACGCCGCCCTTCGTTACATTTATACGGAAGTAAGAGATTCGTAGTAACAACAGGGGGCCGATTACAAGTTAAATGCTCAATCAGGGCGACTCTTAATGGACCGCTGTGTGGTAATATATGAACCAGCTACTGGTTCCTCCAGAAAGTACTATAAATTACAAATCTCGTCCTACACACGACAATTTACAATCAATTTATTCTAACTAATGAAAATGAGCAATGCCTACACTTAGAGCTCGTTAGAGTTTTGGTGGGTCTTCCACAAATGGACTTTCGATTAATGTTTGGCTAGTTTCAGATATTATAGTGGGGTAAAAGCTCTTAATTCATTTGACGGAAATTTATGAGTCAGGATTTGGAGATATGTATAAAGCAAATAAATATAAATAAATATACAAGTATTTCAATAATTATAAGGTGCTATTTCATTTGAGACTAGTTTTTTCTCCACTGATATTTTAAACGGATATTATTTTTATATTATTGTTAATTGTCATCATTATTTTGAATATTTTAAACTTAAACATATTTTTTAATTATTTAATACTGTCATGGAAAACACACCACTATTGATCTATATGCATTTTCTTTATTTCGTTTCCAACTTCGAATTAATTGTTCTATATTTTTGCAGGTTTGGTTTCAAAATAGAAGAGCGAAATGTCGAAAACACGAAAATCAAATGCATAAGGGTAAGTGTTGTATCATTATACCCTGAACCCATTGAACAGTGGAAATTAGATTACAATGGTTTTGTTGAAATGTATGCAACAGACAGAAGGAGGCGTGTCGGACTCCACAAGTATATATGTATATTCTTGATCAGGGCGACGAGCTAAGTCGATTTAACCCTGTCCGTCTGTCTGTCCGTATGTTTGAACGCGCCAACCGTAGAAGGTATAAGAGCTAGAGACTTGAAATCAGTTTTCAAATGTCCGTTTATACAGCGCGAAAGTCGAGTTTATCTTCAAAAATCAAGAACTGTTCTTGTTATTTAGTTATCCATTAAAACCCTTATCGAAAATCAGTAATAAATTTATATCTGCTACATCTTTAAAGCTGGAGTCGCCAATTTCGTTATAACTTGCCCCCTTCCCTATATCCTACATCCTATATCCTATATCCTTCCTCACCCATACGTTTGTAAAAGGCGTATTTCAAATACTAGAGACTTAAGTTAATTAAGTTCCTATAAGCCCACACTGCGTAAGCAGAAAGACGAAAGGAATAATTGAAATATTAGTTGTTCGAAGGGTTCATCCTTAAATGAGTTTATCTTTCAAATAATATAACTATATAATCAGTCAAATAATATAAATCTTTAATTTCCAATGAAAGCCAAGAAAGAAATCGGGTGTAGCCAACTGCATAAAGCTCTTGCACATGCCAAAATAAACCAAATTGATTGCAAAATTGATATTTAGGTACTCCTCTTACTCATATAATCTAAAAAGTTTTGAATCTGTAAGTCTAGAATAGACTTTGTGTGGTTTGCTCTCTTTTCCCTTAAATATATTTTAGTATATATGTAATAAATAGAAATTTATTCACCAGTAGCTTCCACTTCCTCCTATTTGAGAGAAAAATAGACAAAAATTATACATTTTGGCATAGTCATTATTATACATGAAAAGCGTAGTAAAGAATTGAGTTCTAGGTATCAAATCTCTGTATTTATTGTAGGGCTAGTGCTTAAATGTGCAGTGAGTTCTTAATATTAGACAAATCTATGTGAATATATATAACCTAGTCAATCTGTAATTGTAGTGAGTAGTTAAGTTTTGATAATATCCCAAAAAAAATCACTATGTAAAGCACATCAAATATAAAATGTTTATTTAATTTCAAAACCCAAGTCGACGTCTACATAAATAAATAAACTATTAAATACCTGATACGAAACTCTGCAAAAATAATGCATATACCCTTTTCATTTCATAACCGGGTAGACCATACAGAAAATTTGTATGTAATCAAACTTAAAATTAAAAATATTGCTTAATATCTGAAACTCGCATCTGCTGTGATTTTTCGAATATCGCAACAAAATACGTATCCCCCTCTTGTATATATGTGCCATATCTATGTATATACAGCCACGGCCTGGTGACAGCGACACAAATCATTGCCAACTTAATCAAATTAAATATTCCGGCCGTAAAAGTGGAAAATAAAAATGTTATCCGTGCTGAGTTGAGCGGAGGGGAGAGGAGCAACGGCCCGGTTGAGGGGGCGTTGATGAATGAACGGGAAGGAAGCAATCAGAGAGAGGGAGAGAAAGAGAGACAGAGAAAGAGAGAGAGAGAGATAGAAGAGGGTGAAGGTTTTGATATATTAATGATGATACATTTGAATAAACTGCGAAACCATGACATATTGTGTTAAACAGTTGGTTAAATATTTTCAGAGAGGGTACATGGTACATTAAGACAACTGCGGCATTACACAGTTAAGCTGTAAACTTTCAACATTTACTTAACTAATTGCCGTGTTCTTTTAAATTTGCATAAATTCAAATCAACTCCGTGTTCGATATAACGACGAGGAAGGATTGTGGCTTAGCACGGCATTAACGAACGTAAGGAGGGCGCAAATAGAAATTAGAGAGAAAACGTAAAAGTGGAAAAGTTTTGGGCTTGAGGCCGGGCAGCTTCTTGATATAGAAAATCCCTACACACTTAAAATTATTAAATTGACGTAAATTAAATTTACATATTGCCTTCTCGCTCTTTTCTTCAGCTCTACATTGCAGTATCCTGCTGCTCTGGCAGTATGATATCTATTAATTATGACTTTATGAATTTGGCTACAGAGCACACGACGGGGACTCCGCTCTGAGACTCATTTATGGTTGAGCAAGAGGCAAACTTCGTTGTGCCATAACAATTATTGGATACTGCTACAATGTTTTAAGTCTTTAAAGATATTGAGCTGAGGGGGCTCTTATGTGGCAGTATGTACTTATCTTTTTAAATGAATAAAGGTTGTACAAGGAAGACTTTATTTACCTGTAGCTTTAACGAAACCCGTAAAAGTTTGCCTAAAAATGGAAATTCGATTGGCAAATTCTGGGCTGAAAATCAGCTGGGGTTAAAGCTTAGGATTGTAAAACACTGGGTAATGCCAAGATACATTTTAAGTTGCTTTAAACAAACTTTGATTTTTATATATGTAACTTCAGATATTTGTACTCTGCGCCGATCAGAATTGTGACGTCTCGCAAAGTAAAGATTTGGGAACTATAGATTCATTTGACTTCCTTTTTTTATTAAAACGTATACAGATATTTTGAAAACAAATACTGTAAAATCTATAGTCGCTTAAAAGTTCTCTGTCAAGCTTCAAGAGTGTAATCTGTATGTAATATGGGACTACATGTATAATAGGACTACTTTGCCTTAGTAGCACATAATTCCAACATCCACTTATACTATATTATTATTTATTATTATTATGATTTTCTTTTAGTTATATTTCATAGCAGCACGAAAAACTTCCATGCATGTTAAGAAATAGCATCAGGTCCTACAATATATCAAGTATTCAGTTTGCTCGAGTTTAACTAAAGTGCATGGGCTTGGACATAAATTGCTGAATGAAATGGATTTGTTGGAGGGGAAGGGACGTGGTGGCTAGAAGGCCGTGGTAGCAAAAATAAAGTAATCAAATTAAAATTCGAATAAAAAAACACACACACACAACCTTTTTCATACGGAGTAAGGAATCGTTTTATGGACTTATATCAATTCTCAGACTTTTTATCGCCCCAAAAGCAAAACACTGCATAAATGACGAGGCCAACCTGGTCTTGGCCTTGTACTCCCTGGAGTGTCATTTTGATATGTGTCCGTCTGGCCTTGGTCGAGTGCTGGGGGCGACCCCAGCATCACCAGCACCAGCAGCAGATTGTGGCAGCAGTAAGTGCGAGAGAATCCGCCGAATCCAGCCCTCGACTCAGCTCAGTTCAGCTCGAGGGTGTTTTCATGGCAATAAATTAGAAAATGAATTCAATTACTTGTCACGAATTTTTGTACCGATTTGCCAAATTGGGATGTTCATTTGTATTTATGTACTTGTATTAAGGTATGTCCTTATGTAAATTATTTACACATAGAATCAGACTTACTCAAGCAGAGAAGGGAAACAGGAAATGCAATTAGGGACTGGGTCGAAACAAGCGAATCAACATATTGTGCGGAATATTAAGCACCATGGGAATGCATTCACCTCATTCACACTGAGTGATAACGCTAAACATGCCTTACGAATTTTAAACTATGTTACAAATGGTAGTTCAAAAGACAAGGTTATCTTACTAATGTTAAAGGATATTAATATTTAAAAATTCGAGTAAAATGTTGTTTCTAATGGTAAAAGGTATATGCCCTATATATTATTGCCTAAATAAGTGTGCTATAAAAGTTCCTCAAATTAGGAATGTACCTTTCCTCTATGTTAGTTTCCGACATTAATCTTAAATTTTAATGTCGAATTATCCATAAATGCGAATTTAAATATATTTACTTTGTCTTTCGTTTTATCTTATAGCTTCAATACTATACTATATTTTATTTTGTAGCCAGTTTAGAATTAACATCAATAAGGCAAGCTACTATTATAAGTAGCTAGATAAGGCTTTTTTTTCGGAATTTCATTATCTCTCTTTTTTTTTAAGAATATATATTATTAGCAAACAGAAAAGTTGTACTTTTACCATTCTGTCTTAAAATATTTTCATAAGCTTTAAGCACCTATTGAGCATAAGATGAATAAAATATGTATGTTGTATAAAATCATCATACATCTGTGTACATAAAATTTATAAATTTAGATTGATAGATTAATGTTTATTTCTCCCTTAAATACACGATAATACAAACGTCCATTCGTGATCTTATGAATTTGAAAAGAAAAACTATACCTTTCAAAGTTGTAGAGATAATACTATTATGGCTTAAATAATTTTGCACGCACGAAGAACCGTTTTGCCGTCGGTTTCGCCTGAGTGGAACGTTAATCGTTTAAAATGAATATTCCGCCTTTATATGCTAATATAATATAAGATAAAGCTGTTATATATTCATTTCTCATTAAAACACTGGTGTATTTCAGGAATTTTATTGAGCAGTCGAAGTCCGCCGGTGTCGACGCCGCTCGAGCCTTGTCGTGTTGCACCTTATGTTAACTTAGCCAATATCCGCAACACCAATACGGCGATGATTCCCTCATCAAATGGGCTCTGCAGTGTGCCGCAGCAAACCGGCGCCAAGAGCGCCGTCAATATAATTAATAAACGGCCTCCATCTCCTATATCCGTTGTAACGGCCGCTGCTGAACATTTTTCAGGCAGCGTTGCAGCAGCGGCTGCATTCTCCGCCTTCGATCCAGCTATACTCTCAGCTGCAGCTCATCAGGTAAATTGAGCGTATTATAATTAAAATTATATTTTGTTAAATCTATTTGTATACCTTTTTAGTATGCAGCGGCAATAAACAATAGAAGTAGACCCGCTGGACTTTTTCCGTTGCCGCAATATCCACTTCACTTGGCTGCCTTTGCTGCAGCGCACAAAAATTCTAGCATAGCGGATTTACGCATGAAAGCGAAAAAGCATTCGGAATCGTTGGGGCTTGAAGCAGATATAGTTATTTAGTACATAATTTTGTGTATTTAAATTAGGCTTAGATTAGTCTAAAGTTGTCTATTTTAAGACAATTTACTATTTACATATACATACTGATATTTGAAAGAAAAATTACAATAACTACATTTAACACCATTAACATATATATACTATCTATATGTTTCAATAAATAAATGCTTAGTTGTCTTGTTTTTTAATCTGCCTAATGTATTCAAAATCGAGTCAAAAAAAAATGTACTACCACTGACCACTGTCTGGTCAGTGGTACTACGATTAGTAATGAAAAATACCAAATGGCAACAGTTGGCACGAAAAATACCAAATGGCAACAGTTGGCACGAAAATACTTTTTTTTTAACAGAAAACCATTCTGTTAACGGGCGGAGCAGTCATCACTGAAGATTTTTCTGTAAGTTGCGAAGCTTTTGATTGAGCCAACGAAAAAATTGTTCGACAGAAGCAAACAATAATAATCAATTTACTGTTTTTCTATATGCAGCAACAAAAATCAAATTAAAGTTAAATTATAGGTGTTAAACCGAAATTCATTTGATATAAACAATAAGCATGGCTTTTAATCTTTTACGTCAATCATTTATATATCTTATTAACATTTCACGGAATACCCCAAACTTCATACATATATGAGCTATGGCTTAAATGAATTGGTATTTTTGTGATTCGTAGATGAATCGTATATCAGTATTTCAGTTTTGAGAGATACGGTCGCACTGCAACTTTCGCAGTGAAATTTTTTTTATTTTTATTTAATATTTCTTTTCGTTGAAATAAATTACTTAATTTTAAATACAATATCAGTCTAATTAAGTAATGTGAATGTGGCAGCTAAATAAATAAAAATAACCATGAACAGAAAGTGATAAGAGTCGAGCCAACAGGCCGCTTAATCGGCCACCAAGATCCGATCTCCACCTAAAGTAATGAAACGAACATAGAGTGAAAATAAAGAAGTGACGTTTGCACTGTCTAAAATCTGAAGGTTGTTTTTTACGTTTTTTTCTTTTGTTTTTTGTTTTGTGATTTCTAATTTATTTTTCAAGATAATTTTCATCAACATATGTTGTGGGTGTGAAGGTGTGTGTGTGGCAAAGCAAAAGTCTATTTTTTTTCTTTCAGAGTTTGACCTTTAGTCTATTTAATATCCTGACTCCCCTTTTTTCAATTTTTAAATATTGAAATATACGTAAATGGTAAACTTGCCAGTTGCGCATTCGCATCCTTAACGTTAAGTCTAGCACAGGCGCTGAAATGGGGTGTAGTTCGTTTTCATTCATTTGTTGCGTTTGCGTATGCGGCTGTGTGTGTGTTTCAACATATTTACTTGCATACATACATGTACATGAAAACGAATATTCATATATGCATTCATATACACACACGTATATGTACGTCCATATGGTTTATTCCATAACGCTCACTCCAATTGGCGAAATTTCCTGATGTGTGTCTCTTTCTCTTTCTCTGACTCTCATATTTTTCCCTTTTTCTATTACACAGCAACTTTTTCTCTTTGATTGGGAGTGCACGTAGTGCGTTTAATTTACACTTTCTGCTTGGCTGACTCAATTAATTCTTTTAGTTAGTTACTGTCGTCGCTCTCCCACTTTCTGTGCTTACTTACGAGATACACCGCGCATTCAATTTGCGCAACAACAACAGCAGTAGCAACAACAACAGTTAGCGATATTAGAGTCATTAGCCTTTTAAAAGCTTAACTAGCTTTGTAGCTAGTTTAAAGCTTCTGCTATTCCATTAAGTCTTCAGTTTGCATAGTCTTTCGCTTTTTACTATCCGTTGTAACCGGAAATTTCATTGTTTTATAATCATGAAATTATTAAATAAGAGCACATTTTAAAAAATTAAATATAAATATGTTTCATCCACAATCAATATACATATAATATATTAAAAGGAGTATAATTAATATAGTTAATCATTAAAATTAAAAACCAATTTTAATAGACAGGATGAACAGGATAGGTTAATAGAAATGATAAAATATAAAATAAAATTCTGTTGACTCAAAAACAAAAAAAATAATAAATGAGAATATTAATATTAATAATAATGATAATAATAAAAAATAAATCAAAAAATAAAATAAAATAAAAATAAATATAATATTTTATAAGAAAATAAAATATTAGTATACATATCTATTCAAATGAACAGGATAAATGCGCATTATAATTGACAACAAATCAAATTAAATATTTAGTATCCATAAGCATTTTTTAAATTACAAATTTAAAAAAAAGACTAAAAATATATGTTGTATATCTTCGCAGTAGATTTAAGATTAAGTAAATTAGAATTTATTTTAATTGATTTAGTTTTTGTTTTCAGCTTATTTTCAAATCTGATTACTGCATATTGGAAAAAAGAAAAATGATATTGTGATGGCGAAAATGGCATCTGGTGACCTTTCGTTGACCAGCACAAGCAGTCAAGAAGGTGGGTTTACAGGATTATTTAAAATTTTAGTTAAATTTGTTTATTTGATTCACTATAATTCCAGAAGAAAGTTCGGAATATGTGGGCTATGATAATACACTGCGGCCACCTTCCAATTCAAGCGGTAGCACAACGGCCGCCAATATGGCCAACAACAATGGGCCAACAAAGGTGGTCAACAACGTAGGCGGTGGTGGAGGAGTTGGTGGCAACGGAAAGAAATACGAACTACTGCAGTCGCAGTACGAGTCGGCGATGTGTGACCTAACCACGCTGCGGCATCAGCATTCAAACTCGGAGCGGCGTTGTGATGAGCTCGCCACACAGCTAAATCTCTATCAGGAGCACTACATGGCCGACCGCAACAAGTATACGGATATTGTGGCCGAGAGCGCGCGTTTGAAGCACAAATTGATGCTGCTCGAGAATCAGAATCAAAACAGTGGAAATCCCTCAGCCTCGCAGCCGTCGACGCCCGGCAGCAATGCGTTTTATTACGGTAAAATGCTAACGCCCTGCGATGGCAGCTGCAACAGCAGCGAGAAGCTGGCCGAAATGAAGAAGGAACGCAATTTGATAGCTATGGAGCGAGAGAAGTACAAGAAATCCTACATTGAGTTGGAGAAGGAGCGCAACTTCTATCGTGAACGAGGCGAAGAGAATCAAACCTTAAAAGTTCTGCTGTCCAAGGAGACGAAGCACGTCGTTTCGCTGACAGAAGAACTCAATCAGCTCCTCTCTGAAAAGGATAATGTGCTGCAGGAGCATCAAAAGATGTCGGATGACCTGGCGCTGGCCAACAAAGAGATCGATCGTCTCAAGAAAGATGAGCTCGTATACAAGAGCGAATTGAAAGCGTTGCAGCTGGCAAACGCCGAGCACAAGAAAAGAGATCTCCTTAAGTCCCGTGAAAGCAGTTGGTCCAAGGAGTTCAGCAATGACAGCAAGGAGGAGTTGGAAAAGCTGCGCAAGAGCCTAGACAAGGCTCAATCTGAAGTCGAGCGCGCACTGCAAGACGCGGAAGAGGCGAAACGCGTGCGAGACTGGGCCATCTCACAACGGGAGAAGATCGTCCAGGAGCGTGACTCGGTGAAGACGCTCTGCGATAATCTGCGCAAGGAGCGTGACAAGGCCATATCCGATTTGCTAATGGCCATACGCGACAGTGAGAAGATCAAGAAGCAAAAGGACGAGGCCCAGAAAAAAATCGATGCGCTCAAGGAGCAGCTGGAGAGCCAGACAATATCGACACCAGCGACACCCTTTGACAGTGCATCGCGTCGCAGCTTTCGCCTGAGCAGCTTTGAGAGCGGCGAAGACCTTCTGGAAATCGAATTGTGCAACTACCACGACTCGGATTTGGGCATCATCCTCGATGACAGCAACAAGCGTCAGCTGGTCTGCGGAGTCACCAATAGCTCGTCGGCGTTTGGCAAGCTGAAAATCAATGATGTTATCTGCAAGGTGAACGACCTGGAGTGTCAGGGCCTGTCGAAGCGCATGGTCCTCGACGAGATACGCGCCTGTGCGCCCCGCTGCCTTTTGCTCGTCTCCCGCACTCGACACAGCAAGAGGCACTCGTACGCCGTGCAGCTGAAGTCAAACGGCCGGGATGCCATCGGACTGCAGCTGGATATGGGCGTGTTCATAGCCAAGATCGAACCCAACTCGCTGGCCTTCTATGAGCCCGAGCTGGATGTGGGGGATCGCGTGCTGAGTATTAATAACAAGTCAATGGACTCGCTGCAATCCATCGATGAGGTGATGCAGCTGCTCAACACCGACACAGTCAACATATTCGCCCTGAAGTATGTGCCGGAGCAGCAGTCGGACGCCCAATGCCGCATGACCAGCTCGTCGGCGCAGACAGACAGCTCCATTGACTCCATGCTGCAGTTGAATAGCAGCAGCGGAGTGGCTAGCGGCAGTGGCAGTGGCGGTGGCAGTGGCGCCGCCAAACATCCGTCCAAATTCGCAGACTTTCTACGCAAACTGAAGTTCAGTAAACCGGGCACGGCCGACGACAGCTTCGAGCAGGAGCACGACGTGGCCATTGCAGCGCTAGACTCGGTGCTGAGCGAGAACAGCTCGGAGAAGAGCAAAGAGAATCTCTTCAAGCGCCACAAGCGCGGCAAAAAGGGCGAAAAGGAGGCTAAAAGCATGGGTACCTGGCCCCGCACCAACATCTCGCACGACAACCCCACGGGCACCATTGTGCAACGCGGGGGCGAGAAGAAGCGTGCGCTGATGTCGCTCTTCACTGCCGGGCCCATCAATGTGGACAAGGACGACGATGTCGTCGAGCAGGCGGAGTCGAAGCCGCAAATGCAGCTGCAGGAGCTGTCACCGCCGCCGCTGCCGCCGCAGTTGTCGAAGCCGCGCAATCTGAATGGCGGCGCGATCAAAACGCATCCCAATCGCAACTCAAATCCCGTTAGCAACGTGGCCTCCACACTATTTCAGCCCGGCAATGTGGGTGTTACCTATCCGCGGCATTCATTGTATGGGGGCGTGGTCGCCACATCGCCGGAGGAGAAGCAGTCGCCGATGCAGCGACCCGCACCGCTGATGGGTGCCAATGCCCGGGTGAAGCTGCACGGGCAAGAGCGCTCTATCCGCTCGCACAACCCACACCGGTT